TTGCAGAAAATCACATCTCTCGTTATTTAAGTAATAATGAACTTGTTATAAACTTTATAATGGTAGGCACCTGCCTATTTGTTGGGTATGTGTAATGTCATTTGTTACGTCATACAGAAATCAAAGGTGTTGGATCGGCACACGACCACCTGTCTGTATTTAACCACTGTATATATCGCATTCACCGATTGGTCAACAAACAAAGTGACATATGTCCAATGTATTACAACTTCTGATTAGCGGGCACCTGCTTATATTATATCCTTTACCCCACTACCTGCAAATTTTTGTTTATAACTGTGATCAATATTATCAATAAATAGGCATTGCAATAGCAAAACATTCCAAATTTACCTTGATTTAGACTCACCGTAATTATTTAAAAATAAAACATGGAGAAAAGCCACCTGAAGATATTTGTTGAACTTTTTCACTCATAAATAATATACACGTTAACAAATAACAATGCAAATCTCATCCAACATAGTTTTTAGTGAGATGAAAGAAAGAGAACTTATTAAATATTGTTTGCTGATTCTTTATACTTCAAACTTTGAGTATTTTACTGATCTGCAGCACATTAAAGAATATCATTTATAGAAAAAAAGCTGAATAAAAAGTGTTGAAATTATTCATTTTACTGAATTAATTAATCTTTTTGTTTATATTTAAATGTGCAATGCGAAAAAAGGTCAAAATTATTATTAAAAATAATAAAAGAAAGAAGGTTTGGTGCTTTAATTTGATTATTATACGTAGTAACAAAAATTTTTTAAAAAAATACACTTAGAAACTTTTCGTTACATGCATTAAATGTAACTTTAAAGTACATGTACACACACTCTCTCTCTGATAGTATTTTTTATTAATTATCATAAAAACGGTTTGCGTGTAAATAAAAGATATACACACTGATTTATATGGCAATCGATAAAACGGGTGCCAAACAAATGTGCAAATATTTAAACAAGAGCCCATTAGTGGTGTCACTAAGTACCCGACAGTCCGGATCTGTACCCACTGTACCCCGAGAGACTTTCTATCTAATAAGGAATTTTTACAGATCACGTCCGTTGTAAAAGTGATAAGGTTATTCAACATTTACCCGAATGCCGCTCTCTCTTTTTTTTAATTCAACATTTACCCGAAATGCCGCTTTTATTTTTTTTTATTTTTTTTTTTTTAACTATTTTCTGGATCTCCGAGTGTTTAATTATTTCAAGCGAAGTAATCTTGATCGTTTAAACAACTATTGCAAATAAAACGCACCACGTATTTCAAATAAAGAAGTAATGTTGTATGAGATTTTTACATCAAGAGCAGTCAAACAAAGCCTAGGCAATACTGGTACTTTTTTTTATTCTGTGCCCATCGACCCTAAAATCAATGCATTCCCACGCTTTTATCTTTGCACAACCGATCGACGAAATTGTTACAGGAACATTCAATCATATCAGCTGAAACTTTATTGTGTGATTTAACATCCCGGAAAGTACATGTAAACTGAAGCCACTAGATCTACATCTTTATTTAATTTTATGTCCAATTTGTAGTCGACATTTATTTGCACAATCACGCTTTGTTTTGTTTTGTTTTCCCCCGAAATCTGTCTGATTGATTCTATTCTATTTCTACTTAGAAACGTCGATTTTCATATATTATTTAGCCTTCCATAGTAGATCCTATCAGCTCACCAAATAAAAGACCCACTGCCGTTAATAATTCATATGTTTGTTACAAGTTGCCTGATAAATATCAGACATTTCTTCTGGTTGCAAGTTTTCCACCCCAGTAAATCCGCACCTGGGCTGTACCTGATCATGAGACACGCGCCAATGTGTAGGCACGTGTTCCGCGCGCGCTTGAGAGAATGTGGACGCGTGCGACAGTGATTTTGACAACTCTATACGCTTTGATGAACAATACCTGTACAAGGTGAAAGCTGAAAATCGACGAGATATTTAACCGCGAGAAAATTAAGCGTCCACACAATATTTTCATGATTAAGATTATTTCTTTAATTTACATCAGAAAATCACTCTTTGTATGAAATACTTGTACAGGCTCAGGATTTGTGACTATTTATCTACATGTATTAATAGTTAATTTGTACACTAAAAAGTCCTTTAAACAGATTGAAAGAAATATAGCAGATATATGGCGATATTTATTGTTGAGAATATCGGTGCAGCACAGTGTGTACACACAATTATCAGTACAAAGAGTTGCAATAAAGTGACAAACATACAACCGTGTTTATATTTCATTTATTTCAAAATCTAAAACTTTGAACGAGAAGTATTATTAATTTAGTAATCTTAAGATTAGTAATCTTAAGATTAGTAATTTTAATTTATGCCCACAAAGCAAATCAAGAAAAAAGAAAAACGACTGTGATTATTCCAGAGAGAAGCAGATGATACATTTTGCAGCCAGCCTCGCTATTAAGTTAAATAGTTTCGCTAATTTATGTTCGCATCTTGATGGATGAGGGACTGGGATATACAGAGCCGTGCAGCCCTAGACAGTTTATAACAATTGTTAGGAAAACTTCATTCTGCGAAAACCATCTAGCTTGGTTAATTGAAGTTGAATGTTTTTCTTAAAAAGTGAAATGACTTCACCTGCCGTGCATTAGAGAAATATTTTCGCGAGCTTTCGACAATTAACAACGAATCGAACGTAACACAGATGTAGATAGACTGCAGAAGATGTTTCAGAATGTATTTCTTTGAAGTTTGTGTAGGTTGAAATGAAAGTAGGAGGAAACCTGTGCCATCCTTCCGTGTTTACAAATGAATGAAGAAGGTTTCTGTACAAGAACTGCTTTCCAAAATTTTGATAGTGCCAAATCTAAGTGGTGCATGCTGCACTTCTTGTTGAATTGCATTCAAATTCGTACACGTGAAGAGAGAAAAAGAATCTTGGGCTGCGGAATTTTGTTTGCTTCTCTTGTCTTATTCCCCAAGAGAGACGAGTTCGTGATCTTAAATCTTTTTATGTTTTTGTTTCTGTTTCAAAAAAGATTGTTTAGAAATTCTTGAAATTTCCCTGAAAAAGATAAACGTACAACTTATATAATTGTAATTATTGTACAAAAAGATGCAGGCAGGCAGGGTGATCACGAATCTGTTCCCCATGATGCCATTTGTTAAGTCGTCTGTCCTGTCGTCTGCGCGGATACGGGGCCATGAAAGGACACGCGACTTCTGTCACTAAGCGCTGCCTGCTCGGCAAACTGATTAGCGCCCGAGTCAATGACCAGCGGCTTTGTGAGTGACCATATTGTCAATCCCCCTTTTGATGAGGTCACCGGTACCGAGGTTACGTTCAGATCGTCTTTGTTCTGGGACTTAACCCATACCTAATTGATTTTAAATTTTCATGAGAATTTGGAAATGTTCTATTGATTAAGATTGGGTTTGTTAATAAAAGCTTTACATGCAACTTTATTTAGTCCACTGCTAGATGACCCACGCATTAAAAGACGTTCTGGATTGCTACTTAACTGTAATTCACAATTCTTATCAACCTTTAACTCTGTAGTCTATTGTCAACGCAATATCAGTTTTGAGTTTTAAAAATTCTTGAACGGAACAATTTCAATCATATTTCAAAATTAAGGAATGTTATTTCTTCCCATTTGATTCATTATTGTCAGTTATTCACACAACGTTAATTTCTTTTCCCTAATTAAGTACTAGTAGTCCTATACTAAAATAGCATCATAATAGCAGCAGTTGTCTCAATTTGGATTTCTAAAGATACTTTAAGATACTTTAAGATGAGATTAATTACTGAATTGCATTAAACCGGGACTTTTATGAATTACATGTGAAAAAATCCTATCAAAACTTCGAGCATTTTTTTGTTTTCGTCTATAATGCGATAGTCACAAAATAGCTCCAGTACATTAAGGTTATTATCAATGAAATTACATGCCTTGATTTTTTTTTCCCCCAAACTAAAGATAAACTTATATAAAGCCGTATTTTTCTAGCGACAGAATTAATTAATCAAACAGTCTTTCGATGGAGGTATAGTTATGTAGGTTTCCATGGAGAGCTTAGGTCCTCCAAGGTAGTGTGGCACAATTAAGCCAGCATTTCTTTGCATATCTGCATAAATATAAAACAATCACAAGCTGATAATTACACGGCTCTGCTACAGCTGAGGATCCCCGAGCACCTGTTAGCTGACACTAGTACTGGAGAAATATTGACTTTAACAGCATGAAAATACAGATTTCTCAGTTTGGGTCATAATTACTTTTTTTTTCAAAGATTGAATGTAAAAACAACCAGAGAGAATGGGAAATATGTCATCTGTCTTCTAATCTTCCTCGGTTACTATGGAAATCTTTGTAAGGAAGGGAAAAAAGGATTTTCCGTGTCATTCAAGTTTCTCGGCGGCAATTTCTCTTTCTGTGATGGTGGTATTTACTATATGTAACGTTAAAATATCCATGAAATTCTCAATTATTGTATTAAAAGCATTTGCTACCTAATTTTCTTAATATGGTTTTTGTAAGTGAAAAATTATGTTTTTGAATTACTTTTTTCCAATATTCTAATTGAAAGGAAACTTTTATTGTTTAAAAATACCTTTTGTTAATTTTATTCCTGCCGCTGATTGTAAAAAATACTACAGTAAAGGAACTAGATATATGAAAAAAAAACTATTATAAAAAGTTAGCACATATGGTATACATGTGTACAAGTACACATAAATATCTGCTATGCCCCCCCCCCCCATCCCACCCCTTCTTTACTTATTTAGTTAGTGTTGTAAAAAATTACAAAATAAATTATCGTAGATTAATTTTTTTTTTAAAAGTAATGTTTAATGTAACCATTTTCACATTCTTTTCTTGGATATAGGATAAGATTTAAAGATAAAAAAAATCAACGTTATTGACAACGCATACTCATGCAGAAGAAAGTTAATTTCACTAGGAGAGTGACAGCGCATGCGTACAACACACAGACATACGGACATACCCGCTCTGTTTTCACTGTCAGCAGGTTTGACCTGGATTGGGCGATTCATCTATAAAACAAAAAAGTTTAAAATTCTCACATATCAAGCTGAAATAGACTATATATAATACTGGTTACTCTCAAAATGAAGAATTAGACTCACTAACTTAAAGAAAAATCAAAGAAAAAAATATTAAGTGGAATAAGCTATGAACTACAAGGGTCATTAAAAATTGTGTAGACAATGTCGTTTTTCATCATATTATTTTACAAAAAATTAAGATAAACTTATTTTTATATGTAAAAATATAATGTTCATATGTGACATTTCATTCAATTAACTGGAACTCATATTACTTAATTTTAAAAATCGACATTTGTGTCACTACGGAGCACTCTTAACACATTGTAACGTCAATGTAACTTAGTTTTTCTGCTTTCACAAGTTCCGCAACACTGAAGCGCACACCACTTTCCATGATGGTATTACCTACTCTTTTGACCAGAATTTTACTTTTTGTTTTGTTTTTGCCATTTATATACAAATATCCAGTTTTGAAATATTCCTGGTTCTTCCACCAATTTCTTGTTCAGAGTTTGTTTCAGAGGTTTTCGATCGAGTGCAATACAAAATTGCTACTCGCTGCTCCGAGACTTCTGTGACGTCATTTTTTTCTTTTTTGTTTTGTTTTTTCAATAATTCCTTTTCAACGAAGCAAAATATTACATCACAATTTGGCATCTGAAATGATCTGTAACAATACTAAATTTGAACTTTTAAAATTTATTTCCTTTAAGCGGCATTTATTTGAGGTATGACTATAGACATTATACTTACGGAAGCCCATTAGTGCCAACTTGTATATATAAAGGAAACGCAATATATAAAAGCAAACCTCAATATATAAAGGAAATGCGATATATATAAACAGAACCTCGATATATATAAAGGAAATGCGATATATATAAACAGAACCTCGATATATATATAAAAAGAAATGCGAAATATATAAACAAACATCGGTATATATAAAGGGTAATGCAATATATATAAAGAAAAATTTCCATCGCCTGACCTTTAATGACCTTCGTTACACCAGGGATTCGCCAACATCTGATAAGCAGCTCCCTGAGCTACTGTTTGAGTGAAAACGGTAGATGTGGCTCAGTTTCAGGATGTTTTTCAGTGTATTGCGTTTTCTTTATGGGTCTTAATATGATGATTTAAATTAATTTAAAGTTTATAAATAAGACTGCTTTATTCTTACATTTCAAATGGGACAGAATAAAATCAAAACTTTTTTCCTCGATATGTTCATTTTATGGCAATAAAAATTTGGGGTATTTTCAATTGAAATATAATTCAGTGCAAAATGCATGTCTGTGATATCATGTTTTATTTAAACAATAAAATGCTTTCTTTGGTTGTTAATACTGAAATTAGTTTCAAAGAAAGTGGCTCCCATCAGCCACGTACCTTAAATCACTTGACTCGACACTAATTTAGTGTTTCGGCGGTGTGATACGAGGTTTATGATTTTTAATTTCTTACAGTTTATTACTTAGCTGCAAATCCGCCATCATCAAGAGCCTATTTGCACATCTGTGATACAGATTATTTAATTAGTGAGGAGGTGATCATATCACCCAAATTTTTATTGCGTTTATATGACACAATAGGCAATTCAGAGAAAATCGCATTGCAGTTTTTATCTTTACTAAGAATGTGCCAGTATTTGTTTCAAAGAAAGTTGCTCCCATCAAGTCATGTGAGTCAAGTGATTTGAGGTACGTGGCTGATGGGAGCCACTTTCTTTGAAACCAATGGGGATATACTAGACTAAGTATATTATTTTTATAATAGATTTAAAATAATTTGAATTAGGGTATTTAAAAAACTTAACTTGTTAGGAGTCCATGTTTAACATTATTTTCATAAATTCTCGGTTGTGAAACCAAACTTAAGGTAATATACGGATATATTTTTGTAAAACAGTAAACAAGGTACAGTAGTTGTAAAAAGGAAGTTGATCAAAATACATGTAAAGCCAATAAATACACAGAAAATATGATAAACATACTTATTTCATGAATACATAATTAAATGCTCATCTACTCAATTAAATGCATTATATTAAGTAATGCTACAATTACAGTTCATCGATATATACATTCATAAATAAACAAACACTATTAAATAGCACCATTCTGCTGATTCTGGGAAAGTAATACAAGAGTACTGTAAAACTGATTTCCCCCTGCCAGGAGTTAATCTGTATATAATCTTGATGGACAGCTGAGCGACACAGGTCAAGCAGTGGAAAATTTTCTCTTTATATATATCGCATTTCTCTTAATATATATCGAGGTTTTGTTTATATAGTTCGCATTTCCTTTATATATATCGAGGTTCTGTTTATATATTTCGCATTTCCTTTATATATCGAGGTTTACTTTTATATATTGCTTTTCCTTTATATATACAGGTTGGCACTAATGGGCTTCCGTATTATACAGTGTATTGTTAGTGAATCGTTCATTTCTGAGCAAGCTCTGTGACCCAAATTAAGACGTAACCTTAAATTTTAGATAATTCTGATATGATTATATCATAACATATTTGAATTTTTTTATTCATATTATTTGAATTTAAATGACAAAAGTTTACGTATATTTTGAATGACCCTCGTATAATAGAAAAAATGATGGAGGTTTCTGTACCATTACATCTTATTACACTAGTATAAGCAGGGATGTCGTGTGTCCAAACTTTAGGTCAATTTGGTAGTAACACAGTCATTGTTACCTGTATATTATTATTCCAGAGCTTATCAACTTCGCATTTAAACGAAAATTAAGGACAGATCATCAGATGTTGACAACAAAAATAATGTATTTTTACTCAACAAAAAAAAAAAAAAAACGCGTCTTGCAGTGTTTCTGTGTTTTTCTGAAAAGTTGTCAAACTCTGTCTTAAATCAATACATTTCGCTGGTTCAGTTCCACAGACAATAAATGGAGTTATATGTAAAGCTGACGCCAGATCTCCTGTGTTTTGTCAGATCAGTCTCAGACAATGAGAAAACGTTTGGGAATAGAGCATAGCTTTCTGTTTTTAAATTGTCTTAACTTTACAAAATTTTATGAGCGGATGTCTCTCCTAAACCAAAGTATTTTCAACTTTTTAGACCTCTTTAAAATCGTTTGTTACAAAAACTGTTACATAATTCATATCTAAGCCTGTAACAGCGTGTCAAGCATCACTCTAAATTGAACACAACACAATTCATCAATCGAACACGCACGAGACCGACGTGTTACTCAGAGCAGCTCCAAGGAATTTCCCCTTTTGTAACTTTTCTTCCATGGAATTTGACGGCAAAGAAAAGATAAATCCAGTACTCTGGAATTCAGGACGTATATTTTCCCGAACAGCTTTAAACAGGAAGTGGTTACTTCATTGTGTCACATCTAATCGTGCTTTAACAAAGGTACTTGAAAAAGAATTCAACTTTCTAGGGTTCATGATTCTGCAGAATCTGTATTTTTGTTAAATAAATACAATCATCAATGGCAATACAGCAATGCAGGTAATATACTATACATGCTATTTTAAATAAAAAAGTAAACAAATAAGTGAACAATGAAAAACCAACAAGGGAATTGCGTATACTGTACATATTTTGTAAACCTTTCCCGAACACTTACAACTGCTTTGCAAGTACATATGGACGTGCAGCTGTACGAATGTGTTTCGCGGACTTTTTCTTTAAAAAAATTAAAGAAATACAAAAATGCAAGGATAATTACAAACAGCAGTGCTAAAACTCTGCAATGATACATTGAGAAGTAGTTACTGGTATCAAACAACATTATCCTCACAATGTCAGGGGTACTGAGTGCACTCATGATCACCCCACGGCTACAAATGGACGCAGGACTCCTGAGAATAAAACAACTTGTCAAACAAACTATTTTTGAAATTCTTCAAACATTAGCAGCACGATTCAAGCTCCCAAGAAGATATCTCAAATGACATCCTTGCTGCAGAAAAGAAGGGCTTCAAAATTATTAAATGGACCTCAATTTTTTATGGGGCGATGGAGGGCGAAAGTTCTGAAAGGAAGTTTACAAATTCCCGATGAAGAATCTTTTATGATTGGGAGCTTGTAGTTAGTGTAAAAGTGTAAACGATATAGATTGTATATTGTTAAAAATTAAGGGGCTCAAAAGCTCTTTGAAAGATTTATCATTATGAAAGGGAATATTGTTTCAATGTAAGTATTAAGTCACACAACACGAAGTCCGTGATAATAATGGTATCTTCTATTCAACTTTGCAATTTTTTTCAGGAATTATTTCGAAAATACAAATTTCACTTATGAATAACTATAATTTTATATTCTGTCATTTAAAAGATTCAATGTGTTTGTGATTCGAACAATGAATATTCTAATGCTGTTCTAATCACTTGATCACTGGCAGACTACAAGGAACCAATACATAGCTTATTAAGTGTGTATGTCTTCATGGAAAGTTGAACAAAACAGAACACTGGCCATTTAGTAGACCAGATTTACGGAACCCTGCATGCCCGCTCGTTAATCTGCGTGGAACAGTTGTCGAATTTCAACAAAGAAGAAAACCGAAAACCATTATCACCTCATAAAACGCCTGCTACCAGATAAGTCGTGCACGTTGGAGGCGGCTGTACTACTTGAGATTGCCTCCCTTTACTGAGCTCTCTGGTGTTTGATTATAACATGTTTGATATTCCGATAATGCTTATTGATAGGTAAAGCTGTGGAATCTTTGTTTCCCCGGTGTTAAGTTATGTTCTTAAGCTAACGACAGCACACGAAGTAAGAATGCTTAAAACATTTGGTGAATGTCTTCTCATTTCTTACCCTGCTGATGTCAAAGGAACTCTTCTGTTTTTGGCGGGAGTAATACCGCGCTCCAAGACAAATTACGATAAGACATTAGCTCCGTTTGATCTGACTGAGGTTTTATGAATTCGCGTAAATCTTTAATCTCTCGTTATCTGTTCAATAATAAACCCTCGCTTCT